CATGCAGCATACGCTTTCCTCTTGTAATTTAAACACTTACCATAGGTGAGTGTTACATGAGTTGTTGAAAGCAATTCACCAAAGACACGCTGGGCACCTGCTATATGCTGGGCTCTGCACCAGATGCTGGGGTAAGTCAGGTTTGCAGAGTTGCCGGGTTATATGGCTCCAGAGGGCATTCACTTTGAAGATTACATGAAGGGTGCCCCTGGAGATACTCAGTGCAGTCTGGGTGGCTGTGGGCAGTGTCCTGGCAGTTGTGGCGCCTGCCCTCATGGAGTTCATGGTCTAGTATGGAAGACAAATGGTAAATATTGAATTGAGTTGAAACTGACATTATTGGTAGTATTATTATTACCTTTGCTGGAAGAGGACAGAGTGAGGGAGGAAGGGGACTGGACTCTCTCTCACCCATCCTCTACAGCCCTTCCTATTTCAAATATGAGAAGCATTGTCTTAGCCTGGGGGCTCTAACAGAATACTAGAGCCTGGGTGGCTTCAACAGTGGACATTTATTTCTTATGGCTCTTGAGTCTGGAAATCTGAGATCAGGATGTCAGCAGGGATGTGTTCTTATGAATACCTCCTTCACTGCTTGCGGATGGCTGCCTTCTCATTGTGTTCTCAGAGGGCAGGGAGAGAGGGGGAGAGAGGGGAGAGAGCAGAGAAAGGAGGGAGAGGAGAGCAAGCAGGAGCATGAATGTCCTCCTGTCTCTGATAAGGGCACCGATCCCATTGCGAGGGCTCTATCCTCCTGACCCAGTGCCCTGCCGAAGGTCCCGTCTTCAAATGCCTTCACATTGCCGGGTACTGCTGCAACATAAGAATGTCATGGTCACGTGGGGGAAACAACTGGGTCCATAGCAAACACTAAACTTGGCTTTCTTTCAAAGCACAGTTTTAGGAACAGTGTAACTGTGAGGAAAATGAAAAGCTTCCCCCACTTTACCAAATATTGCCCCCTGCTTGCTAATTATTTATAAAACACCACATCAATGGGGAATGGCTTTCCATACCACAGCTAGAGCTTAAACATGTTTAAATGTGAACAGGAGAGAGCATATCGATGTAGATGAGTTTTAATGTGTGTTCATGGGCAGTTGTGGAAGTGTGGGCAGCTGAGTGACACAGCAAGAAATCCAGGTGCCCACAGAAAAGAGGGGCAATGGGGAGGGGGGGCCCGACAACCCTGCCCCAGGCCTGGGGTTCTCCTATCTCAGCTTGTCTCGGTTTATGTGCACAGACAGCAGTGGTAGGCCAAGGTCCTGGTTTTATAGCCAAAGGGGACTGGTGGCTGTGCAGTGGAAATGGAGAGAAGGGAAAACTCCCTGAGAAATGAGGGTCCAGTGCCAGATGGGGTGAGGGAAAGGGAAGGGTCAAGGGTAGCTTGCTGGGGAGATTAAAGAGCAGTGCTCTCTCAGGTCCCCTCACCCCGAACTCCAGAAAGATGGAGTTTCTGGGGAGGGCACAGGCTTCCAGCAGGAGACAAGGAATTTACTTGTCTCAGTTTATGTGCACAGACAGCAGTGATAGGCCAAGGTTCTGGTTTTATAGCCAAAGGGGACTGGTGGCTGTGCGGTGGGAATGAAGAGAAGGGAAAACTCCCTGAGAAATGAGAGTCCAGTGCCAGACGGGGTGATGTATGGCAGGACACCTGCCTTGGGGCAAGAACCCAGGAGCCGGGAGACTCCAGGCACCTGGGTGGAGGGTGGAACCTGGGAGCCAACTGGGGACAGTGGATGTGGAACCTCAGAACAAGTGAGATATTGAGAGAGGGAGGCAGAAATGTAAGGAAGAAGGGGAGCAGAGGGTCTGGGGCGGGGTGGTGGTGGAGAGCCTTTGAAATATCACATGTGGCGCCTCATTGCCAATCATTTTGGAGAAGTCTCATTTTTTTTCCACTTGGAATCCTCTTTGGCTCCTTGGACTCCATTTCTCCATGGAAGATGCTCAAGGAGGGTCCCCGGAAAGCCCTCAGAGCTCAGATGCTCTTCACCCCATATGGGATGCCTAAGAGATCTCACCCCTCACCGTACCCCCAGAGCGGGCAGCCGGTGCTGCTGCAACAGCAGGCTGGGGGGCCTCCCGCTGGCGGAGAACCCAGCCATTTGTCGTTCTTGTCTTCCCCACTTCTGATTGCAGCCTTGGGTAGCCTGCAGTCAGTTGTTGATGAGAACATCATTCTACTCTGCCTTGTGCCAGCTTCCCCCTGCCCAAGACATTGGTCATCCCGTGGTGATGCAGCCCTCTGGTTTGGGGCTGACAGGTGAGGGCTGAGGCTGGGCGGTGCCTGACCCGGCCTTCGGCACACTGGTCATGCGCCACCAGATGAGTCATTCACTGACAGCTTTCCTTGGTCCCCCTGCCCCTTACAACTTGAATGCACATCACCGCTTGAATCTTAGCATGGAGGGATTTTGTTTTTAAAAAAATCCCATATTGCAAAGGACATTTGCCCTGTCTCCTGTTTAAATTGCTTTCCACGGGTTAGGGAGACCTGGCTATCAATTTTCTTCTGGAGAGCAAACCAAGGCCTGTGAAGATCTTGGCTAATTAAAATCTTCACAGATTTTGAGAAGTGCTGTTTGAATTTATCAAAGAGGCTGAAGTCTCTTTTCTCTTCCTGTGTCCTGAAAAAGGCTTCAAACTTGTTTCCGAATCTCTGCCAATGCCTGGTCTGTTTAAGAGTGACGTCCCTGGAGACGATGGCGGAGAGGGTGTTGGGTGTCACATTTTTGCAGCTCCAACCTTTGATGCCGTTGTTCCAGTCTAGGGAAAGTCTTCTCTGTTTACGTAAGAGAGGCACCATTCACACAAAGATTACATTTGGAAATACACATTCTGCCCCCCAGCATGCCTGTTACTAATAACATTGCATGTTATGAAAGTGGAAAGTATTTAAGATGAAATTAATTTTCACTCTGCGTGCCACTTTGTTTGACATTCGTTCCATTCGGAGTGGGGCATGAACTTGGCCAAACTCACTTTTCAATTTTCAGCAAGTTCACTTTCTTGTTCCTCTCTTTGAGATTGGAGCTGTTGGAAGCGAGTTGTGAGCATCTCAGGAAAAGTCGAATTTGAGGTCCTACAGTCGATTTCTTTTGTATTGGCTTCCAGAAAATGACTTTTTTTAGGAGGAGTGTTTTGAAAATGGAAGTCTTCTCTCTAGCCGATGAGTTGTACCGTATCATTTTCTTCCCTTGTTCTTTTTTTAATGGGTTCTCTTTCGGCAGAATTTCTGGAGTTGGGAGAGTTAACATGTGTTTTGGCAGTCTGTCAACAGATCGTGGGAAACCAGGTTACTGTTTCTCACATCAGACACCTCTCTGTCAGTGTGTCTTTGTCAGTTCTCATCAATGCGGCTTGGCTGGTTGCTATTTTGTGGAGGGAATCTGGAGCTGGCGCATCCAGGACAGGCTCTATGTCATCTTGCCTGGGCTGAACCTGCCAGGAAAGTTCTGTTAGCAGTGAGCTACATGGCCTTGGTAGGAGGAGGCATTTAAACCGGTAGGACACAGATGTGAACACTTTGTAGGAAATGGTTCTTTACTTTTGATCAATCTCATGATTCTCGTTACCAACTTTGATTACATCAGCTTTTGTGCTGTTCCATTTTATGGCATTTTAATGGGCCTTCATCCCCTCCCCAATTCATTTCCAGCTGTGTGACCATTATAATATGATTACAGTTTTTGGTTTTGCGACTGCTAGGGCACTTTCTGAGCACATTATACCTTCCTTGTGAGAGTGAAGATGTTCAGAGGGGAGAAAGGAGCAAAGGGCTTTTTTCAGGAGGCGTGTGAACAGTAACTTCCACAAGATGCCTCAGACAGAAGCCTCATGGCTGCCGCCTTCCAGAATGAGAAATCTGCTTTAAATTCTTTGGTAGCTTCTCACCCATTGCCTTTTTTTTGAGTGTAGAAAAATCCATTTAAAACTTTGCTTTCTTTATTCCTCTAAATATTTGGTTAAGTAATAATACTATTTTTTACTTTGATACCTCTGCAACCCCAAAGGTTTTGGCTTCTTCAAATCTATAGAGAATCAAAACAAAGGGACATTTATAATGACACTTTAAAATGAGCTACTCGATTCTCCCTTTGGCTCTGCAATCCCTGCACCCCTCCCGTTGCTGCCTTTCCTCTGCCTCCCCACTAAGAAGCTCAAGTTTACCTGGCAGAGGTTATCTTATTACATTTGTATTTCCTCGAGCCATTTGTTAACCTCTAACGCCTATCTTTCATTTGTTAGGTATTTGATCTCACTATGTTTTTGCTTTACATTTGATCAGTTTTATCAGTGTTAGCTCTTTAGTCTTTGAAAAGGATACTATCTTAAAATTAATAGCATCACCGTAAGTCCAAGGATACCAAGATTCAGGAACATAAAATTTACCGTGCTTAATCATATCACCATTCCAGCAAATCAGAAAGGTCTTTCTCTTTGTCATTTAAACCCCAGGAATTAAATTATTTTGAGTTCCAAATCCAACCATTATTATTTTAAATGCTTCTTTTATTTCTTTTCCACCAGGAAGTTATTTTTCTTTAAGTGTATGGTTTTGAAAGATTGGTGCATGCCCCCCCACCTTTGCCTCCTTCCCTCTATGTAATAGCTCTACTATTTTAAAAATTGAAGTATTGTTATACATAATCTTTTATTGTTTTCAAATATACAGCACAACAGTGGCTCAACAGTTACCTACATGATTAAATCCTCGTTCCTGCTAGTGCAGTTACTATCTATCAACATAGGGAGGTGTTAATAGAATCATTGGCTGTGTTCGCCATGCTGTACTACCATCCCTGTGACCAACTTCTATTATGATTGAGAATTTTTGTGCCCCTTTATCCCCCTCACCCAGCCCCGTGGTAACCACCAGTCACTTCTCATTGTCAAGTACCAAACTTAATGGCAAAATCTTCCCTGGGAGCCGGGTGGGTGACCCTCTGGCTTCGATTTTCCCTGGCCTTATTCCTCCTCTCTCTGTCTCCCCACAGGCTCGGGGATCAGTTCTACAAGGAAGCCATTGAACACTGCCGGAGTTACAATTCGCGGCTGTGTGCAGAGCGCAGTGTGCGGCTCCCCTTCCTGGACTCACAGACCGGGGTAGCCCAGAACAATTGCTACATCTGGATGGAGAAGAGGCACCGAGGCCCAGGTGAGCTGTGCCACCCCTGGTCATGTGCGTGTTCCGGCTCCCAGTCCTGAGGTTGGAGGCCCAGGGATTGGAATCCCTGCAGTGCACGGGCGGCTGCTGCAAGCCCTACCAGGGCCCAGGATACTTTCAAGGAACTCAAACTACTTTCACAGATCTTAGCAGGGGTTTGGAGGGTGGTGTGGGGCCTTGAAGCCACGTTGGTGGGGGAGGGGTAGAATGAAAGAACTCAAGGTGTTTGGCCCAGACTGAGGACATGACAGCCATCTTCATCTTTTACCCTTGTGTGTTGGGCTAACTTAGTGGTTATAAGCTGGGAACCCACAGTCAGACCTTGGTTTCAGGCTTAGCTTTCCCTCAGGTTCCTCATCTGTAAAATGGGGATAATAATAGTAACTACAGCAGGATTTTGTCAGGGTTAGATGCAAATGTTCATAAAAAGCTGCTAAAATGAGTTTAGCACATAGCAAATAAGTATCTGCTCCAGAATTGCTGCTATTATTGTTAATACCATTATTATTACCATTACTATGACTCTAGTTTTCTAGGTTCTAGAGAACACAGACAGATGGGTGGAGATTAAGCAGGCAACTCTAGGGATGTAGTTTTCCAGCTCTATATGGGTATATTTAAAAAACTTTTTATTATGAAGAATTTTAAGCCCATACAAAAGTAGAGAGAATAGTAAAATGAATCTTCATAGTATTTATCACACAGCCTCAACAGTGATCAACTCATGGCCAATTTTGCTTCATTTATACTCACCTCCCATTTTCCTCCTTGGCCTCAGGTTATTTTGAAGCAAATCCAAGATAGCTGTTGGATTTCATTTCATCCTTTTTATTATTATTATTATGTCATCTGTAAAATTTTCAGTATGTATCTCTAAATGGTGAGAACATAAAACAAACCCATAATAACTATCAAAACTTAAAGGTAGCAATAAGACTTTAATAACATCAAGTATTTGTTCAATGTTTATTTCCCTCTGTAGTTGAAATCAGGATCCAAATAAGATCCCTATATTGCAATTGGCTGATGTGTCTTTTAAGTCTCTTTAAGTCTGTAGGTCTCCGTCTCTCCTTCCCTTCTCCTCCCTTCCTGTCCCATTCTCTCTCCCCCTTGCATGTTGTTTGTGGAAGAAACCAGGTTGTTTACACATTAGGGTTTCCCAGAGTCTGGATGTTCTGATTGCATCCCCGTGGTGTTATTCCTGTGAATTGGTAGTTAGGGCTAGGGACCTGAGCAGATTCAGGTTCAATTTTTTTTTTTTTTGGCAAGAACAATTCCTAAGTGGTGGTGTGTGCTTTATCAGGAGGCTCATGTGGTCTGGCTGTCTCTCTTTTGCTTGATGATAGTAGCCCTTGATGATAATTACCTAGACCCTTTATCCTATTAAGGGTTGCAAAAAGGTGACATTCACTTCGAGGCTTTCATTATTTCTTCATTTATTAGTTCTACAGCTTGTATAGAGAAACATCTCATTAAAAGTTTGGTGATTGTTAAGGCATAGTTCACACATGAAAGCAGGATATGTGATTTTCCCCCTTAATTTACCAGTTTTCATAATAATGAATTGGTTCCCTAGTATTCTCCGTAGGTGACCAATAAAATAATTTATTATTTTTGAGTACCATCATGATTTCACAGATTTTAGCATATTGGATACCTTTTGATCCATTGCAGCTATATTCTTACTGATGCTTCAATTGTCCCCTCTTTGGCCAGAAGGGTTTTTGGTCAGTGCTGGTGTTTTGAAACAACCCTGGTAGTTTCTGATAGTTTCCTTGCTATCCTAATATTAGGACAGATGGTTTAGGCTCATCTTGGATGCTTCCTGCTCCATATATGGAATCCACTATTTCTCTAAGAAACCACTTCCTTTTTGTAGGAAATGTTATTTTAGAGACCACAATCTGGTGGTTCTCATGGCCCCTGTGCTGGTCATTGTTTCTAGGACTTTTCATGGAGCCAAATTAGAAAATAAATTTTTTAAAGAGAAATTTGAAGTTATATTTGAAGTCACATTATGAAGTTCTGCTATTTCCCATTCAATTCAGTTTTACACCTTTTTTACTTAACATCTTAGTTTTCTATCTGCTTCCTTCCACATACAAAAAAATCACTCTTAATGATGCTTACATAATTACCTACTTGCTTTATCCCACAATATGCACACAACAGTATTAGAATAAGATGAGATTATAACAAGATTACTGAAAATGTTTTTTTCCCTTTTTTTGCAATTTTTTTTGTCCTTAGAGTATCTCCCATTAAAGATGTAGAGTCAAATTACTGTGTTTTAAGGTCATTTGATATAGTTTGTCTGTGTGGTTGTGTTACTAGCTCAATATATTTAAACCCCAGGAATTAAATTATTTTGAGTTCCAAATCCAACCATTATTATTTTAAATGCTTCTTTTATTTCTTTTCCACCAGGAAGTTATTTTTCTTTAAGTGTATGGTTTTGAAAGATTGGTGCATGCCCCCCCACCTTTGCCTCCTTCCCTCTATGTAATAGCTCTACTATTTTAAAAATTGAAGTATTGTTATACATAATCTTTTATTGTTTTCAAATATACAGCACAACAGTGGCTCAACAGTTACCTACATGATTAAATCCTCGTTCCTGCTAGTGCAGTTACTATCTATCAACATAGGGAGGTGTTAATAGAATCATTGGCTGTGTTCGCCATGCTGTACTACCATCCCTGTGACCAACTTCTATTATGATTGAGAATTTTTGTGCCCCTTTATCCCCCTCACCCAGCCCCGTGGTAACCACCAGTCACTTCTCATTGTCAAGTACCAAACTTAATGGCAAAATCTTCCCTTGGAGCCGGGTGGGTGACCCTCTGGCTTCGATTTTCCCTGGCCTTATTCCTCCTCTCTCTGTCTCCCCACAGGCTCGGGGATCAGTTCTACAAGGAAGCCATTGAACACTGCCGGAGTTACAATTCGCGGCTGTGTGCAGAGCGCAGTGTGCGGCTCCCCTTCCTGGACTCACAGACCGGGGTAGCCCAGAACAATTGCTACATCTGGATGGAGAAGAGGCACCGAGGCCCAGGTGAGCTGTGCCACCCCTGGTCATGTGCGTGTTCCGGCTCCCAGTCCTGAGGTTGGAGGCCCAGGGATTGGAATCCCTGCAGTGCACGGGCGGCTGCTGCAAGCCCTACCAGGGCCCAGGATACTTTCAAGGAACTCAAACTACTTTCACAGATCTTAGCAGGGGTTTGGAGGGTGGTGTGGGGCCTTGAAGCCACGTAGGTGGGGGAGGGGTAGAATGAAAGAACTCAAGGTGTTTGGCCCAGACTGAGGACATGACAGCCATCTTCATCTTTTACCCTTGTGTGTTGGGCTAACTTAGTGGTTATAAGCTGGGAACCCACAGTCAGACCTTGGTTTCAGGCTTAGCTTTCCCTCAGGTTCCTCATCTGTAAAATGGGGATAATAATAGTAACTACAGCAGGATTTTGTCAGGGTTAGATGCAAATGTTCATAAAAAGCTGCTAAAATGAGTTTAGCACATAGCAAATAAGTATCTGCTCCAGAATTGCTGCTATTATTGTTAATACCATTATTATTACCATTACTATGACTCTAGTTTTCTAGGTTCTAGAGAACACAGACAGATGGGTGGAGATTAAGCAGGCAACTCTAGGGATGTAGTTTTCCAGCTCTATATGGGTATATTTAAAAAACTTTTTATTATGAAGAATTTTAAGCCCATACAAAAGTAGAGAGAATAGTAAAATGAATCTTCATAGTATTTATCACACAGCCTCAACAGTGATCAACTCATGGCCAATTTTGCTTCATTTATACTCACCTCCCATTTTCCTCCTTGGCCTCAGGTTATTTTGAAGCAAATCCAAGATAGCTGTTGGATTTCATTTCATCCTTTTTATTATTATTATTATTATTATGTCATCTGTAAAATTTTCAGTATGTATCTCTAAATGGTGAGAACATAAAACAAACCCATAATAACTATCAAAACTTAAAGGTAGCAATAAGACTTTAATAACATCAAGTATTTGTTCAATGTTTATTTCCCTCTGTAGTTGAAATCAGGATCCAAATAAGATCCCTATATTGCAATTGGCTGATGTGTCTTTTAAGTCTCTTTAAGTCTGTAGGTCTCCGTCTCTCCTTCCCTTCTCCTCCCTTCCTGTCCCATTCTCTCTCCCCCTTGCATGTTGTTTGTGGAAGAAACCAGGTTGTTTACACATTAGGGTTTCCCAGAGTCTGGATGTTCTGATTGCATCCCCGTGGTGTTATTCCTGTGAATTGGTAGTTAGGGCTAGGGACCTGAGCAGATTCAGGTTCAATTTTTTTTTTTTTTGGCAAGAACAATTCCTAAGTGGTGGTGTGTGCTTTATCAGGAGGCTCATGTGGTCTGGCTGTCTCTCTTTTGCTTGATGATAGTAGCCCTTGATGATAATTACCTAGACCCTTTATCCTATTAAGGGTTGCAAAAAGGTGACATTCACTTCGAGGCTTTCATTATTTCTTCATTTATTAGTTCTACAGCTTGTATAGAGAAACATCTCATTAAAAGTTTGGTGATTGTTAAGGCATAGTTCACACATGAAAGCAGGATATGTGATTTTCCCCCTTAATTTACCAGTTTTCATAATAATGAATTGGTTCCCTAGTATTCTCCGTAGGTGACCAATAAAATAATTTATTATTTTTGAGTACCATCATGATTTCACAGATTTTAGCATATTGGATACCTTTTGATCCATTGCAGCTATATTCTTACTGATGCTTCAATTGTCCCCTCTTTGGCCAGAAGGGTTTTTGGTCAGTGCTGGTGTTTTGAAACAACCCTGGTAGTTTCTGATAGTTTCCTTGCTATCCTAATATTAGGACAGATGGTTTAGGCTCATCTTGGATGCTTCCTGCTCCATATATGGAATCCACTATTTCTCTAAGAAACCACTTCCTTTTTGTAGGAAATGTTATTTTAGAGACCACAATCTGGTGGTTCTCATGGC